AGAAAAAAGAAAAAACGAAAGAGAAAAATAAAAAGAACAGAACACCAACAACTACAAACTATATTCACACTCATACAAAAACAAGGAGTAAAAACAATCAAGAAAAAACAAAACCCCTACACACAAAAAAGAAAGAAGACAAGAGAGGGGAAGAAGAGAAACATCTACATCAAGGTGTGTCTCTGCTGTCACTTATAGACAAAGTGGTCCAACAGTCCAGATCCAGGTTGATTAATTCCGCAAGCCATAGCTGTAAGCGGGGTAGTGGATACTCCCAGCCAGCCTGCACCTTCGGTTCTGCTGACCTTCAGGCTACTTTCTGGCTGTGAGGCTGTATCCTGATTTGTTCAGCCTGCAGCAGCCGCCTGCCAGCTTGAAGTCCACACCCTGGAGGAGGTTTGAGCTCAGCTCAACGATGCCCTGCTGGCTTAAGCTCAGCAGCCTGTCCTGGGCGCCACCGGGCTGAGCTGTTCTGTTTCTCTCCAAGGTCCCTATGGACCGACCAGCTGCCCTCTCCTCAGGGCCATCTGCACACAAGGAGCTCAACAGCTGCTGCAGCCTGCTGTGTCCACTGTTCCAATCCGCGGGTGCACTTCTCGGGGCAGGCCTCTGGGGTCACCAGTAGTCACTGTGTGTCTGCAGGTTCTATCTGTCTCTCCCATGCCACTAGGCCTGGCTTAAGGAGAAAGTAACGCCTACCACCTCCTCCTTCTACTCAGAATCTCCTTCTTTGCTCTCCCTGTGGGCTACAGTTCTCACTTGGGATCCTTGCAGCGTCGCAGGGACCCAGGTCCCTCCTCTTCTTCCTGTTGTACTGTTTTCCAGCACCTGAACACCAAACCTCAGAGGCTCTTCGCTGCTCACCACTCTGCTACCTTCTCGGAAGTCCCATTATTTATTTTTATTAATGAGAATATAAATATTTGAGAAGGATTTTTTTTGGGGGGAGGGGGCTGGCTCAGACTGCCTTAAGGGCGGGTCTGGTAAGGCAGGTGGAGCTGGGGATCCACCTGCGGTATCCTGTGCCTGCCTGCATTTGCATGAGCAGGTGCTTACACAACTGAGCTAACCAGCAGGCCCCCAAGAACATAAATATTTCTTTATTCATTGGCACACATGTAGGAACTATCAGTTAAAGTCTTTATGTAAACAAAATAAAGTTAATAGTAATATCCTCTTTTGAATCTTATTAAGTACAGTGATATGTCAATTCACAGTGATATCTCAATCTCTTGATTCTGGTTGCAAACTGAACTGGCTGAGGATTGAATCAAATTGCCCCATGAGGTCAGCATTGAACCTAACCACTGAATGCGATTCAGTTCTTGTCCAACTTGATTTGTGACCAGAACTGCAGAAAGAATTAAGTTCATAAGCAGAGGCACCAATGTATCTGTATCTGTGTCTATATCTATAGCTATACCTATATGCATATCTATATCTGTATTTGTTGCAGGGTCTCACTAAGCAGCCCGGACTTGTAGAGATCTTCCAGTCTTCAGCTTCCCCAGTGCTGGGATTGCAGTCATGTGCCACCATTTCCAGTCCTGGCGGCTGGCTCAGTGTGCCCAGGGGCAAGGCCTGCGCTATATGTGGTGCTGGGGATCGAACCCTGGTCCCTGCGCTTGCCTAAGCAGACACTTAGTCCACTGAGCTGTCTTGCTGGGCCATCTGTATATATTTTTAAACTTTATACCACTTACATAATCAAAACAGCTATAAAGTTCTGATTCTGTAGAATCATAGAGTAAGAGACAATTCTTGATATTCATCACGCCCAATACCTTACTTTCTTTTCAGAGAACATTAGTGTTACAACTTAAA